GGCCATAACACGCAACATAATTAAATGGAAATCACAATCAAATAGAATACCAAGATTTATGTGAAAAATCCCTTCAACATGAAGGGTAAAAACCAAAGGCAAATCAGAGATAATCCATTATAAGAATAATGAATATACTAATCTCAAAGTCTTTTGCCTAAAACCCAAGCAACAATCTCAAGAGAATAATTGGGATACAAGGATTATGTCATTGTGCACAATATCTAAATTCTCCCTCAAGTAATCACAACAAGAATCTACTATAGATCTGATCTAACCTAAGATGAGAACACTGCTTGGATGATTGAGAACAGTCTCTCTGCGTTGTCCTTGTCATCTTCCATTTCCTTCTCTTATTTTTTTGTCATTTTCTCTTCCTTTTTGAATCAAGTTGCTACTGTAATTTTCTACCTCGATAGTTTTTCTCTTTATTTTTGTAGCCACCACATCCTCCTTATTAGATCTAGGGTTAGGTTGAAAAAGAGGAGTGGGCTATGGGCTATTAAAGCCCATTATGGGCTGAACTTATGGGCTGTCAGCCCAATAACATCAATTACGTGTTTTTTATGTACATACGACTGATTAATTAGCAGACTTATTCACGAAGCCTCTCGCTCGTAAACTATTTTCATTGTATCTGTTCAAAATCGATATCCTTGATAGAAGTACCCTCTTACGAGGGCATGATAGCAGATAAGATTTTTTTCAACTGTACAAAGAAATCTTGCTAATTTGAAGAAAATCCTCACTATAAAGGAAGAACATATCAATGAGAAAAACAACATATATCTTTAATTTCTATCATCTATCTTCTATAAAAAATGACATCTAAAGAAAATACTGTGTGTTCCCGTTCTTTAACCAGCCACAACTTATTGAAATAAATACTATATAATGCAGTCTCTTTATATATGTTTTCATCTACAATTTATTGAATTAAGATTGTATACTCGAACTCACAAGTGCTTTTTTGTTCACAACTAATGGGCATTAGCTTACCTAAAATAATAATAATAAAATATAAATATTTTCATAACTCGGAGAGAAATTATTAATGGAGTCGTCATTTCTAGATCACATCCCCTAAAGGCGATCAGAATTAAAAAAAAAAAAAGAAAAAAGAAAAATTGATCAAATCGAATCAATTGCCTCACATCCAGTTAGCTAATAAAAATGACATCATACGAAAAGAAAGTTCCCATGCAAATGGATTTTCTTTTCTTTTCTTTTTCTTACATTTATAGCAGTTTCAATAACGTCTTAATAAAAAAGAATGGTACTTTCATCTTCTGTGGTTAGCAGTCCTCTATAAATCCACCGTGCTCACGCTTGGAGAAGCATCACTCTCCTCATCACTATGTCGGCAAGAGAGATCAGATTCGGTAGGCATGCATTTGGTTCATCAGACAGATTTTGCAATCACTTCTTTCGAGATCAAGCAAATGTATGGCGAAGGTACAGCGCCTGGTTGTTCTAAGATGCATCACTCATATTATGATGTGGAACTTGATTTGAGAGTACCCTGTAGCACAATTATATGGAAGGGACGCAAGCTGGGACCAAGACCAGGAAAAGAAGGTCATGGGTCTTTTTTCTCTTCTCTTCTCTTCCTCTCTCTGAGGGACCAACTGGTGTTGCCAGGCCTAGGAATTTTTTTGGCAGATGAAGTGAAGGAAGGGTCGCATGAGAGCAGGAAATGAGAGAAAATAATAATAATATTATTATTATTATCCTAAGTTAGTCTTGAGGTGAAACCGCACACATCCCGACAGAATATATATGAACTCAGTATGTGGGTCGTACTTGGTAAAACAAATCACGAACGATGGTGATGAAACCACACTTCCAAAAGAGGTACGAGTTGATGATTGAGGAGATCCAGAAGAATGGAAGACGGGCGATTTCCAATGATGAGTCGGGGGGACGATGATCTATGATTGACGTGGTTGAATTGACATCATATAATTTGCGATATGTGGGAGTGCTTCCGTGAGTCGGATGTGATGAGGGGAATGAATCGAACGAATCGTTGGTGTGCAGCAACTGCGTCACCACGATCTTGATCAGCTGATTGCATGCTTGGCCCAGTCAAAATCTGCCAAACAACGTACGCTTATCCTTTCTCGAGGACGGAGCCTGTCCTTTTTAAGATATTATGAATCTATTATGAGATTTGAACGAATCTTCTGTGCGATCTAGATGATCTTGTGTCAGATCTTCCTATCATCATCATCATCATCTTCTTCTACGGGGGTAACTTACAAATAAATTTTGGTACAACCCAGATATACAACGAATATAAAATATAAAATATTTTTTTAATAAAAATAAAATTTTATTTTATATAAAAAATATTATAAGTTTAGATAAATATCATATGGCATCTTAAAAATTTTAAAAATTATAGTAACATCCCATCCCATGAATGAATGTTGAAATATACTATTGCTAATCCTAAAGTAACATCATCATTTGGATATTTGCAACGCTACATCCATCCATCGGGATCAAATCGATGTGAATGAAATTATCAACCACTCATTCACATTTAAAATGTTGTATTTCAGAAATTAGCAGTGAATTTGAAATTCTACTATAAATGTTTACTGCAGGACCTCATGATTTAGATGGAAGGTCAGCTTCAACCAACGATAAGCGTGCAATCATAGAGGTGCTCGAACAGGCCACATTGGAATCATGCATGTGAAGGTTGCAGATAGCAAGCTAGCTGAGAACAGCAACATCAAATGTTAAAAAGGAACGGACCACAACGTTGATTGAAGCGGAATGGAACAGGAGTTTCTGCCGAGTTATTATGGGAGGTAACGTAGCCATGAGTCCAACCACTCCTTCCCCTTCCCAATCATTGCAGATGTGTTTGGGGCGTCGGATGGTTGCACGTGAGTCAACCCCGTGGATTTCATGCCGACACGGACAGCCACTAAATCACAGTACCGATCCAAGAAGGAGAGATGGTAAGATACCTCAAGCTGCAGCATGTGGCTTGCTGGCTGTGACTTGTGAAGGAGAGCAAGTTGGAGAGACTGTTCATTTCCTGTATCATTGTGGCGGCGCTATCTTCCTTTCTCCGGACCTAATTAATTATTGCAGCAAGCTCCGTCCATATCCCTCCCCCCCCCTCCTCCCCTCTACCTCAACTTAGTCGGTTGCTCGATTGTGATCCTAACGTCAACACCCTGCCGATTCCTTTGACGAAAGTGCACTGCATATCCTTTGATATCCCATTGACGAACGTGTTCTTTCTGACAACCAGACACGCAAGTAGCAGCAGATGGATATGGATCGATGAACACACACACACACTCATACCCGCACCTTCAGCACATGCCTTCTTCGCCTGCAGCTTCACTCTCGACCGCTAAATTCCCGTCTTCCCCAAGTAAGTTCGAGATTTGGCCGTGTCTTCTTCTCGTTGACGTACTTTTCCGAACTGCTTCCGAAGACTTTTCCTGCAAACAATAATGCTTCTGCATAAGTGCATGTAGATATCTACATCTATGAATATCATTATCTTGTGGCGCCCGAAACATTATTTTTCTGAAACAGGTGGTGGGCATATGTATCGGTAGGTTGAACCATTCTGAGTTGGAACTTCGATGAGCTTCTCAGAAATCTATGGAACTCGATATGGAGCTACAACTGGAATACAGTAATTCTCATGAATGTAAATCCATGGCTGTCTCCAAAACTAGATCCAAGTCAGAACTGCTCCAAGTCGTACAAGTTTGCGTGCAGGGATTATATTCTGAAACTAAAACGTATCAACTATGCCTTGATACATGAAGGGCTTGTCTTTCAGGTTCCAGGGAGATGCTTTGCAAGGACATGCAATTGTTTCTAGCTGGGCGGAAGTCATATATTCACCTCTCTCTCTCTTTCTCACATGCGCACACACACATACACACACACGCAAATGCGTACAATGTATATAAATCCATAATTAATGGGCCATATATGCTACAGTTGTGGTGGCCGCACTTCGAGAGCATTCATTCAGGACCACTTAAAAGTGAAGATTTCTAGAAAAGATCTTTAATGAAACGCCTATAACGTGTTTCTTCCTTATATTTCATAACCTGATTTTCCCATCATTAGCTTCAGATCACAAAAAGAAGCAGCAAAAACATAGTTTATTGTCTTTTTTTTTTATTCTTCTTTTCAGATGGAATAAATCTTACCTATTATCAATACTGATTTTTATAAATCAGAAATTTTACTGTCATCTCTGACGAGCAACTTCTAACTCTTCCTTTCTGCCATCCAATTGGTATATATATATATATATATATATATATATATATACTCCTTGAGAGTCGGTATTCTTAGCGTTAGCTATGCATGGATTGCTCCTTTATTTTAGATGGAGGAGATGTAGCAAACCCATACATACATGAAGATGGTATTTTGCAATATCATAGACTGTTGAGCCCTAGACTTAAAAGAACTAAAATCCAAAATTTATGTTGATAAATTATCGAGAAGAAGGAGGTTTTGATGTCAGACTACAAATTTGCGACCTGACATTAAATATCCCTTTTTCAAAGAGGGTTCGGTGCCATTTGTGATGCCATGAGGAGGGTGTTTCTTTTGGACATTAATTTTGGGGATTCAAACTCATCACTGATCAATCCAGACTACGCTTGATGACAATATTTGTTACACAAATAGTTCAAACTCGTTGAGGCAGTAAACGACACATTAAGTAGGTAGGATTAGGAAAGCCACCGCTCTAGCAAGAAGCAGCACCATTTACCAGCATTTCCATGAATGGGGGAAGCGATCCATCGGTGAGGTAGTTGGTGTGTATGAATGACAACATCCTTATCCAATTTTTGCTCATCTCATGAACTCATCAGGGTTAAAGCCGTGGGTGAAGCGTGTGGAAAGCCTCGGTGGGGGAGATAGCGACGGCTTCACTCCCTCTCCCATGAAAGAGGGCCGATAAGCTCTCAGCGCTCTGTCAGCGGGCTGCCATTCACTATTTGCTATTTGCGGACCCACCGAAGATTTTTCTTCACTGGTTTATCCTGCGATGCAATCTCTATATAAGCAAAGGAAGCTGAAGAAGTTGCCTTGGGAAGACTGAAGGTCTTGTTTCGGAACCACATCAGGTACTATTTCTAAATACCTTGCAGGCAGCGTATGTCTTAGCATCCACCGGTTTATGTTCCAGTACTAGAGTTCCGATGCGTTGTTTCCATAAGCAGATAAAAGGGTCATCTCTTTGGTGAGTTGAAGGAAGCCAAACAAGTGTGTCCTCGAGAAGAATGGAGATCATGAGAATCGTTTCAGAAGCAAAGGAGCTCGATCAGGTACTGTTCTTAAAATCTTTTTGCAAGCAGTGCTTTCATGTTTACATCTCTGTTTGTTTCCGGAAAGTTGAGAATGGTTCTTTATTCAAAGGAGTAGCTAGCGGCTGTATACCACGTAAAAACGAGTTGTGGACGCCGACGGCTGTCAGTTCATTGGGACTTGGAAAATTTCCGATCCTTTCGTTTACTCTTAATATGATTTTTCTCGATCCTACAATCTAATATAATATGATATAATATAATATAATATACTATACTACGGTGCCGATGCAGTGATATCCACGGACATAATAAGCCTCACTCGACTGGGGTTTTGGGAGACGACATCATCTCGAAGCTACTACTCCTACTTTTGATTCAGCCAACTAATTAAGCAGCAGAGTTGTTCATTCTTCGCAGTCAAAACTGACCCAAACCATTCGTTCTTTTTTTCTCGCTGAACAATTTCCTAATCTTCGTTCTGATGATGCTGTTCTTTAAAATCTAATCACCTATGTTCATTTCTTCCCGGTTTTCAGATAAAAAAAATATATATTCGTTTGAACTCGTATTGCCTGTCCAAGGGCATACCACATAATAGACTAATATACCACATATATATGAAATAGACGTACAAAGGAAAGCAGATTGGGTAGAACTTTGTGTATGGCCAGCACATGTGGTTGCCTCTGTCGGACAGAGCATGTAAGGAAGCCACGTGCTTTGAAGTCGCCGAGAGGAGTAACGTCGCGTGATCGGCCATGTCCGTGCACCACGGCAGCCTCAAGTCCCACGTGGCGTCGGGTTGGGGCACAGAAAACCTTGAACTCGAGGATTAGGCGCAAGCAATGGCGGGCAATTGTGAGGCGCATCCCTCAAACACGTTCCCCTGCAATGGAGATGCTAATGCGGCTTTTGGCTCCATCGATGAAGTCAAATCCAGCCTCTCATCTTTCTTTCACAACATCCTCCTACATCACTATCTTTAAGGAACCCTTGCGTTTACTGGTAACTCTTAAGTCCTTTACATTTTAATATGGGGAGGAGGGTCTTTCGGTGTACATGCTACTACTCGTTACATTTCAGCAGTGCAATATTATCCTGCTTACGTTACGTCTTACCGACTCATGGTTCTCTAAGGAAGTGGTCCTGCCGTGTAAACGAGCCTGGTCTTACCACTTGCTACCTGCTAAGCACGCGGCTTCACACTATATATGCCTTCCTCGCAGGCTGCTGTAGATCACAGTGCAACCGTGATGGATTCTAATCCACCATTCGTTGCCACCTACAAGAGCCTCTTTAGCAGTCGAGCAAGCATGAACCACGAAGCCGAGTTACTGGCGGTGGAGTGCGACCTCCCGCTCGTCGACCTCAGCCGTCTAAACAGCAAGCTCGAGGCGAAGCAATGCAAGCAAGATATCATCACTGCCGCCACGGAGTGGGGCTTCTTCCAGATAGTGAACCATGGCGTGTCCAACAGTCTCTTGGCAAGACTGCGACGACAACAGGTAAAGATGTTTCGGCAGCCGTTCAAGAAGAAGGTCCTCGACTTCTCCGACGACAGCTACCGCTGGGGGACACCCACGGCGACCAGCCTGAAGCAGCTGTCGTGGTCGGAGGCGTATCATATTCCTGTGTCTTCCGCGAACAAGCTTGCAAGAACCAGCACCAACAGGTATTTCCTAACATAAACATGGGTTTCTAAGCTTTGATTTTTCTAAAAATTAATTTCCTAAATGAAGTTCAAGAAATTCTCAGGCGAAGCGGAACATGAAATCTATCATACTTCAAGTTTTAATTTGTTATTACATCTCTCATTCTACTTTTTCTTTCTGAAAGCGTTCGTGGCCTATTAATTTTATTAACTTGATAAGAAATTTAGAATTTTAAACTATTAATATGTGGATCAAAACATATGTCAGTCATTTGACTTCTTTTAATCATATCTCACATATATATAAATAAATATTTTGAAATTATATCCAAGGAATATGTATAAATCAATAATGATCATATAAGAAACCGATCGACTGACCTTTAGCGACACAAAATCCTCAGCATCAAAGCTAAAAAGTCATTGCAAAACTTCTTTTGTCGTTAAACTGAGTTTTAGGTTAAGGATGTTTTCTTGCCATTAAAATAAAAAAAAAAATAATAAAAAGCATTTTTTTACATCTCTATCTTTATGTCATGAATGCTATTCTGGACGCCGAACAGCACGAGTCCTAAATGCAAAATGTCGAGTAATTCTTCTGAAACTTTCATCGATCAATAGATGCGTGTATTGTGAAGTAACAGGGAATGGCTCGAATGGCCATCTCGTACTGCAACGCAGGTGTGTGATAGAGGAGTTCTCTGCGGCAATGGCTCAGCTGGCAAATCAACTGGTCGATACACTTGCAGAAGGATTGGGACGCGATGGCACGTATATCAAGGAAAACTGCACGCGCAATTCGTGTTATCTGCGACTCAACCATTATCCGTCATGCCCACTCCCCGGTGAAGTGTTTGGGTTGGTTCCTCACACTGACAGTGATTTCCTCACCATCCTGTGCCAAGACACGGTGTGTGGGCTGCAGTTGAACAAGGCTGGGAGATGGGTCACCGTCAAGCCTAATCCTAACGCGCTGATCGTCAACATCGGCGATCTATTCCAGGTAATAATACTTCCTAGTGATCCAACAACCCTTACGATTAATTTCCTGTAGTTAGATAGCTAGTTTCATCGGTACAGAGGAAGCAAGATGAAATAAGATCTCTCAATATGATAGTTTTAGGTTCAGGAAGTGGAAAGGGAGACAACAAATGAGTGCTGCAACAGTGAGACGTTTTGTGCTTCGGCAGAATCAACCAAGTGTTCATGCGATTGCCACACCAAAGCCTTTAACGAGACTATGCTGCTTTATGTAAATGCAGGCTTGGAGCAATGGCTTATACAAGAGTGTGGAGCACAGAGTCATGTCGAATCCACACCTCGAGAGGTTCTCGGTGGCCTACTTCGTTTGCCCCTCCAAAGAAACATTGATCCAGAGCAGTGCACTGCCAGCCATCTACAGAAAGTTCAGCTTTGGAGAATACAGGCTGCAAGTTCAACAAGACGTCAGGCTAACCGGTCACAAGGTTGGGCTTACGAGGTTTCTCGCTTGAAGCGGATGAAACATAAAAGACTACAGCAGATGCAAAGTTTGTTCCACATTTCTTCTTCCTTCTTTTCTCCGGAGGGGTTTAGATTCTTAGTGTGTTCTTCCATATCAACTTTTTTTGCCAAGAATATTAGATTTCGAAATTGTCGTCCTAGGAATTAATGTGAATTTGTCAGAGAACCAAATCTACTGAATCTTTTTGCACACCATCGATCAGTTGGTCTTTGATACAGGTCAGAAAACCGTAGCTTAAATGTCGAAACAAGTGTAGGAGGAATGTGCTTTTAGTCCCAATAAATTGTTTTCTGTGTCCATTGTTGAAGATGTTTAGTCACCAAATGCACATTTTTAAATGGGTTGAAAGAATAGCTAACATGAACAAACACCACCGAAGAAATCACTACATTCGTGAATAGGTTCATTTCTGCATTATTTTCCACCATGGAGCTATTTTAGATATCACATTTGTAAAGGAAAGAGACAGAGGCAAACTGGTATTTGCCACAAACTGCTTTGTGATTCGCAAGAACTATATAAAGTTTGATCAAACAAGCACGAAAACACACCAGAAAAATGTCTTCACCACTCGAGAACGAGGAGATAAATCTTATCTGAATTGTACAATATAACCAACTGCTCGATCACTCTATAATCATTTATTGAGATCTATAATTATTGCCAAAACTTGTAAAGAGTGTTTGTAAAATCTTCACACCACACTAAAGAATGCATCCTCCAGTACATGCATGCGAACCTATCCATCTTCAGCATCGGATTGGCTGCATTGAATTAAAATCCAATAATGCATTAGCTCGATCAAATAGACAAAAAGATATACAGTGTGATGTTCACTAGTGTTTGGGTGCATGTTCAGCAACAGAAAAACCAGCCTGAAACAATTTGGATGTTCAGGAATGACATGTATATCATTGTACATAAGCGAAATTCTCTTGCATGGTTCCAGATTTTCAACCTCTGGCCAATCTCTCATTCCCAGTCCAGCTTTAACAAGGAAATGTTTGTCGTCCTTGGATTCAATGTATACAGCCACATCTTGCACCACGTCATGAAGCTTTAAACATCCCAACTTCAAACTATTCAGTATTAAACAAGAAGACTTCAGTTTCTCAACCAAAAAATGCACTGTCTCTCACATCCTCTAAAGTGACAACATCACTTAAAAGGTTCTCCCATACGGCATATCGTGTAAGTTCATCCTCGCTGATGTCGTAGTCCTCACGGAACAGGCAGCAGTAGAGAAACAACACTTTCAATTCAGCAGTTTTCAGTTGTTTGTAGCTCAGTTCTAGTGATTTGAACAGTTGTTCCTCCACAACTTCCAGGTTTGTAGGAATGGATTGCTTGAGTTGCGATAACACATCGTGCCAAGCACCTTTCTCCTTGTATCCTTGTAATGCCCTTCCGACCACAAAAACTGCCAATGGTAAACCACCACACTCTTGTGCGACCATTTTTGCAACATGTTCTATATCAGGAGAGACTTGGCAACATCTCCTGCCTTACTTTTGAAAAGTTCCCATGAATCTGCTTCAGACAAGACAGCAACTTCCACCGAGACATCAGTTTCCTTAACATGGCATAGGTCAAGTTTACGAGAGCTTAGTATGATTTTGCAGCCTGTGTGCTCTTCTCCATAAGGCATTCCAACTTCTCGTAGCTCCAACCTAGCCCATATGTCATCCAGCATGATCAAAATTTTATTCTCCTTCTTCATCCTACTAGCCAGCAAACTAATCGCAGTTTCACCAGGACCCAAGTCTTGCAAGCCCAGCTGATCAGCAATGCCATGTTGGATGTGAGCTATGGTTGGATTCTGTGATACCGGCACCTTGACTACAGCATCAAACTTTTATTCTTCATGCAGCCTTCTGCACAATTCTTCCATCAAGGTTGTCTTGCCTACTCCCCCCATACCGTTATATTCCAATCGAGTGCACATTGTCATCAGCTGATGCATTCATCACCTTATCCATGGCATCCCTTGTGGAGCCAAAGGCCATAAAGTCTCCCATGGGCATGGGAACAATGGACGCTGAGTGCCATGGTTGAAAAATATTCTGGAAATTCATTTTGTCCAGGAGTTTCTTAGCATCAGATTCTATCTTGGTGGCCTCATTTCCAATCTTATAGTGGGATGACAAATTAGGAAGTCTCCTCCCAAATCATCTGATATCCTCTCCAATCCGGTTCTCAATCTCATTATATTGTTCCTCGAGTTCATGCACTTAACTTACCCACAATGTGACTTCATCATAAATATCTTCACTTCTCTGCTCACCTTCCTCTACTCTTCGCTGTATACCATTCCTTGTGCTCCTCAAAGCCTCGATCTGTACTAAGTTTCTTGAATTTCTTTTTGTGAAATATAATATTGCTTGCATGGGACTTGCATTCTTTATATAAGTCCTTCAAAACATCAGTCCCAAATCCACCAAAAATTCCTCCACATAGAGTGAGACAGGGACAAACCATGACCTGTGCTGGAAGGACAAGAGTATGGCTGATTGGATTAACAGTGATGTCACTATAAGCAGTCACCAGATATCACTTTTATTAACAATGAATAATATTATTTGCAAATTCTTTAAATTATAAATGCTGATAACTGATTAAGCTTCAATTTCATTTTAATGTGAGGACTAAATGAAATAAAATTTCCAAATTAGCAGCCACCAGATATCACTTTTTAGCTCTACATGACCTTTTCTTAAAAGAATTTGTGTGTACCCCTGTAGCAAATGTTTCATAATTGACCATTCAAAGTTGCAAACATATACAAGCTCCTCAAAACAGTGAGAGTTAGAGGTTGAATGCTTTGTTTTTTCTTTTTTTATACAAAGGAATGAATATATGTAATATTTGCAATTGGTAAAGGATCCTTCTTTTGTTGAGGTGAGACTCTAAATATACAAATTATGAAGAACCTTGTGAAAGCTAAAACTCAAAGTCAAAAAGAAGGAAAAAGAAAAACCAAACCATGTAGACTAACTCTGGTAAAGCTTCCTCAAAAACAATATCACTTCATACTATTCATTATGTCTAATTTGGATAACAAAATTGTCTAGTTAAACAGTGGAACAGAGGCATTTGGCAGTTTTTTAGTCCTCATGTGAACAAAATTGTCTTTTAAATGGACACTTTTCTTGAGCACTATTTCTTTGGGCTTTAGCTCTTGATTCTCTTGAGCACTATTTCTTCTTGTGTCACTTTTCTGTGTCCTTTGGGCAATTTCTGGAACAAAGACTTCATATTAACCTTTCTGACCCATCCGAATGGTGCATTGGTGATCAGATTTTTGAAGGCTCACAACTGGGGGGAGCCTGGATTGAGGTTGTCTGCTGTTAGTGCCACAGGGTTATGGTGGATTTGGAGGGCGTGTAATGAGGCCCTATATGATAATTCTAAAATGACTGTTTCCAACTTATTTCACCTAGTCATTGGATCAGCCTTGGCTTATGACATAGCTAAAACTCCTGATGGCAGTATACATGTGACTGTCTCTCGGAAGGTTTATTGGTTCCCTCCTCAGGTGGGATTGGTTAAGCTGAACTATGATGATTCGATGGGAGGAGACCAAGTTAGGAGTGCTGATCTTTCTAGCACGGGTTGTACTAGATCTCTTTCAATAATATAACTTTTATCTTTTCAGAAAAAAAAACACCAATGATGCTAATCTAATAATCACTGGATGCAGGTTTTTGGAAAGGGGGAGGTGTTGTACTGCGAAGCAATGGCTGTGCTGGTGGGACTCCAAGCCGTGTTGCCGGATGACTATCAAAAAGTTATTGTTGAATCTGACTCCGAGATCCTCATTTATGTGCTGTTACATAAATAACTTATTTCATGGCACACTAGGAATGCAATTTTCAGTCTGTGGGCGTTGTTAGATCTTTTTGATGTATATAGTCTCTCCCATGTGTATAGGAAAGGGAATGAAGCAGCCAATCGGCTAGACAGACATGATAAAAACATGAGGTCTTCGTTTTTTTTCGAGAGGAGAATGGCCCTCTCGGCCGGACCATTTGATATGCTCCGATGTTAGAAATGCTTTTTGTAACGGTTTGATATAGTTAATCAAGTCTTTTTTGAAAAAAAAAACAGTGAAATAGAGACTTACAAGCACTTTAGCTCTTCTTTCACATCAGGCTTGTTTGGGAGTTTCATGGGTAAACTAGAGACTAGCAAACAGGTTCCGTGTCTAATCAGAGGAGGTATACTCTCTATTCTGCAACCTGTTGTACATAACTCGCAAGTACTATACCCAATGTTAGTCCAGAAATTCTGATAGAACATTGGATCAATGCTACTTGTTTCAATTTATGAGATGTAAAAGGAAAACGACAAGATGGATCAGAGCGGTGTAGCAAATAAAAGCAATAAAGATGAAGAGGCCACGCCACCTCTCTGGCCCTAACCTTGTAAAATTCTACCTACGAAAAATCAATCAAGCTTCAAATTGTTGAAGAACAACCATCAGGGACGAACAACACTTAGCAGCAAGTGACAAATTCAACATAAAGGCCAGGCGAAGAATCAGGTGAAAATAATGGTCTGTTTGTTCCTGTTCTGAGAAACAAAATAACTTTTTCCAGATCCCACTGTTTATATTTCCAGTTCAATAAGAATTAATTGTGACAGGCATCAGCGGGACAAGTAGATCATAGATCAAGAACACACAACTCTTTTAACTACAGAAAATGATAAGAGCAAAGAACGAAGATCGAGATCGAGATCGAGATCATACATACCTTGACAATGGAGGTGTCTTCTTCAACTTCCAAGGACAGCAAGGGGCGGGCGATAAGGGAAGGCCAGCTTGTGTTTTTGCATTGATGTAGTAAGCTTATATTTTCAATAATGCTTCTCCGAATTCATACCATCGTCCCTTTCCTCGGAAGGCTGCGGTGAAGATCCATTGTTTTGTCATTCTCATTATTATGTTATTTGTCTTGTCTTTTTACCTTTGAATATTTATTGTTATAGCTGGAATTTGCTATTATATAATAATGGTTTTGAGTCATATTTATATATATATCATGATCCAAGTTGTTATGTGCGAGATTCTAAGAACCAAGCAAAATCTCATCTTCTGCCACCAAATTGAGCCGTCCGGTTTTCCAGCGAACCAAACGAACCGGAGACGACTCACAGCATCCAACGTTTCTGCTATGGCTCTTACGACTAAAATACACAGAATGCGAAATATCAAAACTGACCAAAACTTTACAGGTCAATAGATATCAAGTGGACAAAGATTGAGGGCATTATAGTCAATTCTCGAGAAACAAACCCG